TCCATTACCGCTCGACAAAAGAAGCTAATTTTTTTTTACCAAGGATAGAGGCGTGTTCACACTCCAAATTCATACGGACAAGGATACTGAGAATCTTTGTTAAGTATCACTATTGACCTCAACAAGAAAATTTTATTTTTTTCGCAGACAGGAAAAAAACAATATACTTAACAAAGGTTCTCACTAACCTTGTCAGTATGGATTTGGAGTGTGAATATGCCTCTATCCTTGGTAAAAGAAAAATGAGCTCGTTTGGTCGAGCGGTAATGGAGATATTCAAATTTTCCTAACTCTAATGACTTTCTGGTCACCCTATATTCTTTTCTAAAGCTGAAAATTTGGTCGTCTCACTGATTTACTTAATTCTTTTGCTATCGATAGAAATTCTACTAATGCATCAAACATAATCTTAACACTAGTATTGATGTATTAATATTTTTCAAAATATCAATACTGATACAAAATTACTGTTCATTAGGTAAGCTTGTCTGTAAACTAAAATTAAAAAACGTTGACAGTACAAAATGCTGAAAAAATTTCATAACAATAAAGAGTAAAATACTGAAACAAAGACTACATTGAAAGTTGTTTGATAAAGATGTCGTTATTGTACAATCAACATCAGCTTATGGGCATGCAGTATGGGAGTTTAAACTATTTTTCAAAAATTTGATAGTTCTGAAAATTCCGTAAAAGTTAGAACGCTTATAACTAATAAATATTGTCAAATAGTGATCTTCTAAGTTATAAAATAAGAATAGAAGAGACGGAAAAAAAGATTAGCTCCCTAGAGAATATACTGAGTTAAGGGTACCCAAAAAAGTACCCTGATACCAGTATGTCACAGGAACTTTTGGGTACCAAAGTACTTGCGGGTACTTACAGGTACCTAAGTGGTACTTTGGCAAGTACCCTGCTGGAAAATGCACAGTAATTGGGTACCTAAAGGTACTGATCAAGTACTGAATTGGGTACATTTGTATAGTATTTCTAAGTACCCTGTTACCAAATTTTCAGTATGTTCAGGATCGAACCTGATCTTTGACTTTTTAAAATTTTTCTTTTTCTTGAGATAATTTACTAGATTTTGTTTAACTTTATTCAATTTAATTTTTTCAATTCCAAAAACTTAGGAGGAACAATGTCGGGATCCGACTCAACTTGAGTTGGTCGTAGACCACTTCAGGGTAGTCCGATCTTAATTTACGACCAAGCTCGGCATTTCCTCGACTAAGAAATAGTCAAGAAATAATTTAGAAAAAACTAGTATGAAAATTGATTATTTTCTTATGATTTATCGAGTTGTTTATATAGAGCCGTACGTAAAAAAGAAAACGGTGAATGAATAGTCGCCACACAGAACGCGAAAAATTTAGGATACCCTGTCGAGATCTCCTCAGTAAAGTTACAGACTTGTGTATCCATGCAGGTACTTATTCAGTGAATGTACTTTTACGGGTACCCCAAACAGTACATACATCAGTAAAATTACTGAGAATTTTCAAAGTACCCATATTGGGTACCCTGCTAGAGCTTTCTCAGTACATGGGTACCCTGAACTCAGTACTTTCTCTAGGGCTTCATATACAGACAGGTATGAAAGAAGAATGTATAGATGTACGAGTTTCTTTTTCTAATCATAGTTAGAATCGTTCAGTAGGTTCATGTTTTAGTTTTGTACCGTTATCATTAATGATTCGATTCCAGACGACTAGTCATAAAATGATCAATAAAAAAAATTCATAGTCACGATATTGCAAACTGGATACTGATTATAGAGATCACTGTTCGTTAGTATAACACCAGTGAACCAATGATGGAAAAATTTGAAAATTTTTCAACACTACAAGTTAATATCTGTACTGTTTCATTTCTAAACCGACGTATAAGGCAGAATATGGTTCCTCGATTCGTAGAAAAACATAATTAAAATCATTATGTGTCCTTTTACTTTTATTTATAACGCATACTTTTCTATTTTTCTTTTCATTAAATGTAAAAGTTAAATTTATCATCTATATTCAATCTTCTATAGGTTCACACAACTTGTACACTTAACAGCTTTTATAACAGTACGGACGAGCAAGAGAGTGTGATCGATTAGAAGATGTGCCTTGATTTCTTTCGTCATTCACTCTATCACGTCGTTCTTTGTTTAAAATTATTACTGTTAAGAATGAATGAAAGAGAGAGAGAGAGCTAACGAAGTTATGTAGAAAACACGGTCATCTCGGTCTCGTCACGAACGATCGACAAAAAAAAGAAAAGTGACCGATGAAATTCAGATTATTTCATTTTCTTAATCCTCTGAATAGTCGATAGTTTACACTCGTTGTTGCTATTATTTCGACTAACTTAATATAATGTCTAATCGTGTGGCACAATCGTTATCACCTTCAAATTCACTAAACTTCCTCCAGTATATTTATTACTAGTTCTCCATCTACAATTACATTGGAATCATCGAAACATGGTGATCGTCCATGTGATTTCATTTGGTTGCATTTCAATGATATGGGCCGGGCCAAGACACCAGGTCATCGAAAAGCACAGTGCAAGTATTGTTTATTATGCTTAAATTTTGCAAAGCTTAGCATGATGTATTCTTATATTGCACACCAACGTGATGAAATTGTTAATTATGATCCAAATGCACGCAAAGAAACTATTATTAAAATGCGTGATCTGGAACAACAATCATCACCAGCAAGAAATAATAAAAAAGTCACAGAGGTATGATAGTTTCATTATTATTTCAATTCACTCTACCATTTTTCTAGGTGGTATCATTTGATCAATTGGCTCATAAGCTATCTACAATAGATATATTTACTTCCAGAATTATTTCTTGTGGTGAAAAAAAATATAGATCGATATTTGTTATGCGCTTTTATCATGAATGGTATTTCATTTCGAACGGTTAATAATATTTTTTTATTGATTTTATCAAAAAACTAAATTCTTCTTATGATTTATCGGGTCGAAAAAAATTACCATATGAAGTACCTACACAAGAAATAATTTATGTGGAGAATAAAAATGAATCCCTATTGGCCGAAGCTGCTCATCTTAGATTGAATATTGATGGATGGAGCGATCGATGTCGTCGATCGTTGTATGAATATAATGTCATTACGGATAGTCGTAAGACTATCATGCTGTCACTCATTGATATTAGTGGTTACAGCCATACTGCAGACGTTTTAGTGAACCGATTAGAATCTGTTCTTGCTCGTGTTTCCACAAATATTAATATTACATCAAAATTACGTGGCATTATTACAGATAATCCTACTACGATGCAAAAAGTGCATGCAATGTTTATTTCTAAACCAGGAAATCAACATATTATCGGATTAAGATGCTTGGCACATGCTATTAATTTGATTGCTGGTAAGAATTTTATGAATCATTGCTTTAAATTCCTTAAATATAATTCTAACTATAAAAGCATTCAAAGAATCTTTTATTTGAAATTATTTACATTTTCACTCATAGTTGCCATATAGGGTTGTTTCATCTTTATAAAATGAAATCACGATCTCGAACGTTTCTGTTTGTAGATTGAACTGTTACATCTTCATTTGTCAAAATTTTTCCTTACTTTACTGGTATTGTTGAAGTATGAAAATATTGTTTTTCTGAATTCTTTGAATGATTTTATATGTATAAAAAAATTTCTATTTAACAAAGCATGATGTAATTGTTTATTTTCTTTGTATTTAGGTGACACATCATCAAGCATGTTTATGCTAGAAATATTATACAAAAGGCAGCAACTATTACGTCTTTTTGCAGTCGTTCACATTTTTTTTTAAACAAAACTTAAAGAAGAAGCTGAACGTATTCAAATAAGAAAAGAAACTCTCCATACAATTGTTACTACTAGGTAGTCATACTATGGGCTATTTAATTTCAGTCTGAATTTATCAAATAAAAATAATACTTGATTTCAAACTGAAACGTGAGTCTAGGAGTGAGGGGGGAGTGACTGAGGGTGTGGGTGTTGGTCTGGGACCCACACACACACCCACACCCATGGTGCGGGTGTGGGCGCGCGAGTGAGGGTGAGGGTGTGCTTGTGGCTTTGTGTACTATAGGCTTTAGTCCCCTGCACAAGGGACTAAGCGGGGACTAAGCTTTTTGTGGGGGGGGGACTAAGGGGGACTTTGCAGGACTAGGGGGGACTAAGGGTTTTTAGTGGGACTACGTAGTATCAAACGAGAAAAGTTTGATTCGGAAGAAGTTGGTGCGGTTTTTTTGATTTTAGAATTCAGTTTGAAATAAAAAAGCCCATAGACTCTAGGTAGTCTAGTGTAACTGAATACTTGAACTCATTTATTGTTCTTCGAGCACCACTAGAAGTACTTGTAGCTATTCATAAATCAATAGCACCTAATAGAATTATTAATATTATAAATAATCGTTCATTCTTTCATGACATTGAAACTTAATATCAAGTTATGAATCTATTGGCATAGGCAATGTCGATTATTCAATCTTCTTCTATTACATTGACTGATTGTTATTTAACTTTATCATATCTTCATTTAACAACGAATCGATTTGTTGATAGTACTGAAACTCGAACTTTTGGTCGGTTTGTTGGCAAGGTGGTTGATATTCGATTAAAGGAGTTCCAGAATGATATTTATTTAAGTGCTTATTGTCTTCATCCGAAGTATCGTGGTAGTGACATGCTTACCGGTGGTCGATCAGCCGTGTATCGCTACCTTGCTGAATATAGCAAAAAAATTAGCAACATCTTGGCAACGACTAAAAATGTAATAAGTGCGTTGCAGAGATTCTAGATCAAAAGTGGACCTTATGCACTTCATTTTACAAAAGGTAAACTAGATAAATTATAATTCTTGGCTTATTTTATTTTATAAATAAATGATACACCAGCTTCGTGGTGGTCCATGATTAATGATCATACACACAAAAATTCTCTATTCAATATTGCATTACGTCTATTCTCAATTACACCTCATTCTGTGATGCCTGAACGATTGTTTTCTATTCTAGATTGGTATCACACAAAACGTCGTAATCGTCTTAATTCATTTACACTTGAAGCAATTGCTAAAATACATACATTTTACAAAAATGGATTGAACAGTACTGAAGATGCCTTGGATGCTGATTATTTGAAAGAAATATTAGATTTAACGGATGAATCATATACAAGTTCGGGTATTACTGATGAATCAAATTATTCTTCTACAGATGCTGCTGATTTCGTACAATGTGTTAGTGATGATCATCATGTTTTATGTACAAAATGTGAAGCGGAATCTATTAATGAAGAACAATCTTTTGACGATGAAGATGTTTCAGAACTCGATTCTATGTTCAATACTAAAGATCGAGATTATCAATAAATACTAATGGATCTTGGTTTTATTGAAGATATTAAATTACTATCTACTGAAGATGATGGGTGACCTGAAAATGAAGTAACTGAAACAGTATCAAGCGAAGATTATGATGTTGAAGAGCTATTAACAGCTGCTATGGGTATATAGGTAATTTAAATAAAATCAGTTTCTGTCTAATTTTTTTTCTTGTTCATCTTATACTATTATGTTGATTCTTATAAGAGTGCTCTTGAATTTTTAAATAAATTATCAATACGACATTATTTGCATTTATCTCAAGCTAAAATCTTCTATTTTTTTTTAAAAGGAAATGAAAATATTTTTAATGAAAAGAATAAAATCGAATAATATTATACATTAGAATGGAGCCTAGACGCATTTCAATTAATTAGTGAAAAAAATGTGATATGAATCTGTAAAACTGGAACAGTTGGTAGTTATAACCGCGGTTGATAGTTATAACCATGGTTGATAGTTACAACCGGAATAACTTTTTGACCAAAAAGTTCTCTTTTACAAAGTACAAATGATATGCTAGGAATGACACCTGATGTTACTGAACAATTACGAATGAAATGGCCAAAGAAAACTGGCCAGAGTTATACTATGTTCAACAATAGAGAAAGTGCACAGAGTTCCAGATCAACCCTGCTGAACAGAAAAAGTAATGTTGTACAACCAAGCACTGACTTGAATATGAGTCAAATCAGTTTTACGAATGTACATGCTATTAAAACGCCGATAGAAATTGAAAGTGCAACCATTAAACGTTCGACTAGTGAAAACATTGATAAAATGCTTTGGCTCACTGTCGATCGGGTGTTCATGTTCGTCGCGTGAGCAAAATGCTTTGTTTAAAAGAAAACAACAAAAATGAAAACGTCCAAACTATAATGGGTGATGCGCAGAAACTGAGGTCTTCTTCGATGTCATCTATGAATACTAACCGAGTGAGTGTAACAAAAGTACGACGAAAGAGTACAACCATAATAGTCACTGTAAACTCATCTCAGTACCATGCTGGTGGAGAACAAATAGGTAGCGAAACAGTTCCAAACTTGGGAAATGTTGCTGCACCTAAAAATACCAGTATTGCAGAAGAAAATTTAATTGATATTAACTTCTCAATTAATCCTTCATCACCGAGGACGAGTGCAAGCAATGTCAAGGTTGCTAAGATTATAAGATCATCAGGTAAGTTACAACCAGCGAATGATGATCCAAGACCGAATTCATTATCGATGAACAATCGAACTCGTTCATCTAATGGAATAACCGTGACCAAGGTTCCGCGTGTCAAAACTTCAGTAAAAACTTACACATCATAATTATTTTAGAGTGTTTAACTCATTCTACTAAAGATTACTGGCAAAATTAGATGATTCTTTCGAACATTATTGAACTATATTAATAATTCGTTCCTCGATATATAGTTCTAACTGTCGACCTTTCATTCTTGCTTCTCGTTCTTTCATTAACTAACTTTTCAATTATGTTGTCTTTATGCTTTGATTTCAGTTTTTTTTTCATACTATGTGATTTGCATGATTTTTGTTTTTATCTTTCTCAACAAGTATTTCAAATCTATTGTGTGAATAATTATAAATGATATTTCATTACGAAATGACGTAGTACGATTTATCAATAAAGCCACAAACGTTTATTCTTATGTTTCGGAAGACTCCTAGTTTTTCACTAAGAAAGCTTTCTGAGCAACGTATATTCTATAACGGAGCACAGTCACTAACGCATCGAACTGGTTCTCGCCCGATGCTGAGTGAAGAATCCATAATAGTTTCCATCAGAACAATATATTCAATCACTTGACCGTACTCTAGAATGATTACTTTAATTTTCTAATCACAATTGGTATGATATCATCCACAAACAACTATTAACATCATTTAATACGTATAGGAATAGTGCTATTCATGAAACAAATGACTACATCATCTTCATGCATACGTCTTTTACTTTGTTAAAAGACGACGGTGTAGTTATGACTGTGTGTGAGATGAAATCTTCTTTTCACCTAAACTTCGTCTAAACCAACTCATTATAGGCATCATCTCTAAGCGTCCACTATAATATACAGAATGTTACCATTTGTTAATGCAACTAAGACCCAATCAAAAGAAGAATATATATGTCAATGCAGAATGAGGTTTAAGGCATTTCATAAATTTTCAATCATCTCAGTCACTTTCAAAACGCCTCTATGATGAACTTGCCTCTTGAGGTTTCAACATAATTTTTGATGTGATACCCATGACTCATCCAAGAGAAATATGTTATAGTAGTCTGTGTCAGAGGTCATCGAATTGTTTCTCATATAGATTGAATTTGTTATCAAACGATTCAACGTCTCATCCTGCATCGAAATATACCCTTCTTTTGAAAACTCCGAGATGAGTGAATTCGTCTTACTATGCACGTTTTTTCTTTCAATGTCCTTCCGTTGCCCATGTTCTAAGGGGAACTTGAACACAAAAAAAAAGAGCATTGATTAAAACTCAGTGGATTGTTTCATCAAAATAATTTATTTATAAATGACAAGTTGATAATAAACATCTATCGTTATAAAGAGGAACGCAAAGTTAAGTTAACAGTATCATCTACTTCATTGATATTTTTTGTAACGCTCGATACTGAGCCGAATAATGCACAAGTACTCGATTGAATAAGCATTTTTTCATCATCATCGATAATTTGCAAGTGAATGTCTTTGTTGATAGTTCGTTGCAATTCTATAAATTTTTCGTTCAAATTTCTAATAATTTGATTAACTAATTGATCATCAATAGTGTTATCATTGACTGAAATAGAGAAATTAAGTTTGGATCGTACTGATGATTTTCGCGATTTTTCTTGATCGAAATTTTTTCGACAATTCGACTGCGGCATTTTTTCAACTAATTGTTCGCGTATTAATTGTCTATTGCTTGAGATTTCTTTAATTATTTTCTTCTCCTCGTCTTCATATTCATTATCCATATCAGTGAATTCGTTTGATAACATTTGTTGATCGGACGAATGCATCTTTCGATTAAAGACACGTTGGTAACGATCGACCAAAACTGAAACAAGCATACCAATGATTGCTGCACCAGATAAGGCACATAAACAGGCTATTGTACGGCCAATAACTGTTATCGGATACATATCTCCATAGCTATTGAAATCGAATTGAAATAGTTCTGTGACGAAAACTATCATTGTACTCACCCGACAGTCGTAATGGTGATAATTCCCCAATAGGTTGCTTTTGGAATCGAATCAAACATTTCTGGATTTGCTTGAGTTTCGGCAACATAAGCTGCTGCTCCGAATAAAAACGCTACAACAACTAAACCGAAAAGTGTTCCAGTAAAATCGATCAAAGATTCTTTCAATGTTGTACTAAGAGCACGCAGTACTTTCAACTGTTTAAAAACCAGATACAGCTTTAATATACGCAATAAACGTATTGCACGCATAATGTTTGTGGAGACTGAGATATCCGGATTTATATTTATATATGCATTATTTAATAGAAAACCCAAATCGACAAAGTAGGGAACAATAGCTGCTAAATCAATGTATGTAAAAACCGACAAGAAAAAGCGTTTATACGATGGAGTACTAATCAAACGAAGAAAAAATTCAATTGTAAAATACGCAACACAAATACTTTGAATGATAAAAAATGGTTCCTTGACTATTGCTGAACAACGTGGAACAAGCGTTGAGTTGAGAGTAAGATTTGCTTGTTCGAGACAACTATTCAACCAATAATTCTTGTATTTTGGTAAAGTTTGAATAGCTAATATGATACACGAGAGAATAGTTAAAGTCATCGCAATGATATTGATTAAACGAGCCCATACTGAATATTGAGGACAATCCAGAAGGCGCCAAATAACTTTACGCCAGTACATTTTCGGCATTGGCTTACTCTTTAATTCGCTAAAATTTTCCGATTCTCTCACTTGGATATGTGCAGTTGGACCTAATTGAAAAAATGAAATCTCCTCCAGAAATGTATCTAGTGGAATGGTATCTGGCCGACGAAGACGTCCATTTGATTGATAGTAGTATAGAATACTCTCGAAACACATCCGATGTCGATCAAAAAAGAATTCATTCCGTTCTTTTTTCCAATACTTGTTTCGTTTATGTTCGTTGCCTAAAAGTGTTTCCGGAAAGTTTTTGAGAGTGGATAGACATGTTTCAAATCGACACCCACTAACATTGATTGTAACAATTGAAGATTGATTAGTATTTGACTCTTTCGTTGATTCATTACATGATTTGAATGAATCTATTGAAAGCATACCATCACCTTGAGTGATTATCATTGGACTTGAAAGAATGACCGAAGCTTTACTAAGATGTCTAGGAAATAAACTCTATTGACTTACTGAGTTGTATGGTATTTTTCTATTTTTGAATTCTCCAGAATATTGTTTGTGCAGTTTGAACTTATCGAACCACTAGAATTATTGAACAAATAATGTATTGCAAACTCTATTTCAATGAAAATTTACCTGACGAAACTCGACAATGCAATTTCTTCAGGATCAGAAGTAGAAGAAGTAATGTCCATGACTGTGTTTTTTTTGACTGATTTTTGTCTTTAGACGCCATTTGTAATGGAGGTCTGCGAATCAGCGAGTGAAAGTGTAAACAAAAAACAAATAGTAGTGCCCAATGGATAGAGTACTTAAATTGAGAAGTAGCAAATCCATTTGGAAATTTTTGGAAAAATGGACAGTAGGAAGTTTTAGATGAAGATAAGACCAAAAAATTGCGTCTACTATGTTTATGAGGTTATTGTCACATCGAATACTGATATCATTACCCCTATCAGATGTAACTTATCGGTCTATTGATCAGAAAGTTCAAATGCTGTTTATCTTGCTGTCAAGATTTTGCTCTCTTTAAATCCTACTAGAGAAGCGAGGATCAAAAGACTAGAGATTAAGTTGTTTCTTTCATATCTGCATCTAGTCAAATAATTTTGACTTTACGAATCAATAGTAAATTGATGATCTGAGATGAAACATTACGTTATTTCCTTTTTTCCAGTTGCATTTCATGTAAAAAAAAAAATAACGTAATGTTTGCATTAAAAGATGTAGCTGTCATTTTAAGATACACTTAGAAACTAATGCAATTGTTTTATACATCAATGGTGTTTTCAAGCACTAACAAACAAAAGGTGGCAATAGATCTCGACGGTATCTTAATGAATCAAGCTAAATTCTACATATTTTAATTTACGAAAGAAGTTAAAATCATAGAACAAATCTATTGTTGATCTGCTCAGAATGGTCAGCTTTTCATGAGATATTTCTTAGTGCAAAATAAGAACTACAGAATATCATCAAAACTCACAAATAATAAAGATATCTTTGATCTCCACTATGCTGTTTTAACAATCTTGCCTATCAAGAATCACTGATAATACTAGATGTTTCTGGCATAAAGCAGATATTTGCATAAAAAGGGTGAAAGAATTCAACATAGTGCAGAAATGAGAATAGAAAACAAAAGGAAACACAGCATACACGTAACGCATGAGGACATCCCTTATGTATAACATCATCTCGATTTTGTGCGTGACTTCGATGCTTTTTTTGTATTGCTTAAGTAAAATGTGCATCTGATAAATCGATCGTTACACATGAACGGATATGTTTACAGGAAGAAAGATAATTTTTTTCTGTTCTCATTGACAGTATTTACTAAACGAATGTAGTATTTCGTTTAAGCATCTAAAAGATAAGCAAATCGTCCATGATTTTGCGTTCATCGACTGATTTTTCTTTGCGTCGATTTAATATGTGAAGTCGTTGTATTCTATTCATGTGGACAAGAGATACATTGAGAGAGTCGATGGACCTCATATGTACGACAAAGTATCTATGAAGACGAATTTTTGCTAGTTGTTCTTCTGATGAATCTTGTTATAAAGAATATGAATGTGGATATGCATGTAACAAGGCGAGCCATATCTGTACGTGAATAGAAAACCTTTTCCAACAGCAGCGCGCACACCCACACCCTAAAAAAAATGATATTATGTTCGGTGGCATCTCAATAGATATATATTCATATTGCTCTTTTATTGGTCAAATACAGTTAGTGTTTCCTATATTGATATCAGCATTTCGTCAAAGAAGACATTGCATCGAATAATCGGAACCATCTATTACATCATTCTACTTTGGTATCTGAAATCATTGTTCAAGTGAACTGAAAAAATAAATTTAGCGCCCTTTTCCCCTTGGTGACAATCTAAAAGTATTTGTATCTGCCTGATCATGTTGGACGAACCAAATCAAGGTCAATGCTCAATCCCATTGGTCATCGAGTAGAATCACTAGATGCTGATCGATCGATGAGCGTCAAGAGTGAGATAGAATCAATCAACAATGAACGATTGAAATTTTTTTTAGTTAATACAAATAGATAAGGCGAATAGAATCAAATTGATATCTTTGAAGCTGAATTGTTCACCGATCGGAGTTTTCAACAAATTTACAAAGATCGTCAATAACATCGATGAATTCCTTGGCTTACTTGATTCAGTAGAAGATATGTTCGTAACAGAGTACGACATAAGTGGTGAAATCATCATAAGCAAACTAGAATTCTTTGTATTCATGGAGAAGATAGAGTCACCATCTCATTAATGGGTCATTTTGAAAGAGATAGTAGAATCGAATCGAGTTGAAAACAGCAAATCTAAACGATACTGTCAGTGAATTCAATCAAGAACAATCGTCTCGTTATTTCCATTACCTGGACTTTCGCAACAATCGAAACAATAACATGTCGAACTTTACATGTGATTAGAATTCATCAACTATTCTTCGTTGAAACAAAACAAATAGATATAACGTTGAGAATCAATTTGTAGAATGTGGCAATCTTTCTCTGTTCAATCAATCGAGGAATAAGAAAGATTTTGAATGAGACAAAATTTCTATTGAACAAATGGACAAAGTCAAAAAATAAATAAATTGAAAAATCGTGGCGTTGACAGTAAAGAAGAAGATTTCTATAGCAAAAATCGTTCAAAGAGGGATAGATACATGTGCTACTATGGTATTCATTAGAGAGATTAATAGAGAAGATCGTTGGAGCTGGATCAATGAATCTCATCGAAGTTAAAACGGCATGAAAATTTATTGTCATCGTACTGAATTAGTAATGACAATTTTGAATTTCGAAATTTTCTTCAAACAACGATTGACACGGCTATTTCGACATGCGATGAAAATCAATGAACAATTCGAATCGATCGAAGAATCATCAAGGAGAACATCATCTCATCACAGATTGAACATTCAAATTGACTGTTTATCATACTGATCGATCCAAACACAAATAGTGTGGTCAGTTTACATCCAGCAACATTGAATCACGATTGCAGCTGACCTTATTGAAAAGACAAATGACGATAAAGATCAAGCTGATCTTAAAATCATCTTCGATCAGACAACTATATCCGATATGAACTTCAGAAAAACTTGCCATTCGAACCAGTGTTACTAAAACACAGCTCGGTCTACGAGTGAATAATCTCATAGACACCGGCACTTACCTATCGTCTCGTTATTTTTTACGAGCACAAGAATCCAACTAATCTAGTTCATCTGAATCGCTCTTCTTCTTAATTTCTCTTCTAGACTTTCTATCCGTCGCGACTCCCATCGATACTACTTTGCGTGCATAAAACGACTAAAAAGATGTGATGCGTTTCTTAGAATAGTAGCTTTTCTTTATTAGTTGAACTCATATTGATAAGAAAATAGATCTATCCAAAAGAGAAAATGATTCTTGACATTGACAGGTATCGAGAAGATGACAGAATTATTTCGATTGCTGCATAAAGCAGACGACCATTCAATATCTCTTGAAAAAGTCTACAGCACACGTCTAAATATGAAAGGAAAAACTGAGTTTCAAAATGTAATAGAGATGAAAGATGTCCTGATAGTTCATATCGATGTTTGTAGATAATACTTTTACTTGCATTACTGGTACTTGATCTATTTCTAGAGGATGAAGATGTAAGATTGAGTGTGAGAATATTCTTTTTACTGGTACACTTTCCTCGTATACTTTCTCAGAAAAAGATATAGTTCCTTGAAAATATTTTAATTCAAGTTAACCTATAATTATAAAAAATAAAAATTGACTCAACAATTCATTTATTTTTTTATTCAATATGATTTTCAAATTAATTTTTCAAATGAAAATAGTTCATATTTTATTTATTTAATTTTGTTTTTGTCTTTTTTTAACACATAAACATTCATCATACAATTATATATCGCCTAGAACGACGTACAAAAATAGAGTTTATACCAACATAATACGAAAAAAAAAATACAGACACACAAGTACAAAGAAGAAACCAAATAGATCTATTAAAGTTTCTCTTATAACAGAAAAAAAAAACAAAATAGAGCTAGATTTATGATATACATAAACACATATATTTCTATTCTCTCTTGACTTTAATATACAACCGGTTAAGATAATCAAATATCTTGTTAATAATATTAAGATAAACAATAGTAATAGAAGTAAATATTTGAGATTGAATATATATGTATATACGAAAAATCATATTTACATGGAAAACATAACATTTGACTTCTGATTATTATATATATATATATCTATACAATTCGAGAATATCTTATTTAAGATGCATGATTAATAATTAGAAATATGACTAGTCTGAGGACGGAGAATCATTGCTATTATTTTCATTTTCTTCTTCATCTTCATTTTGTTCGGTATCACTATTTTCATTATGATTATTTGTTATTTGATCATCTTCCGATGATGATGCTATAGATTTTGCTAAACGAGTTCGTCGACGTGTATTTTGATTGTTATCTATATTTTTTATTGGAGATGAATCTGATCGTCGTAATCGTTTTGAACGTCGCTGTGCTATTGTTTTTTCTTCTTCATCACTTTCATCTTCTGCATCTTCATCAATTTCACGATAATTTTTACGTGCACCTATATTAAAAAAAGAATATTTAATTTCATCGCTCGTTACTGATATTATACATAAGAGAAATTTTTTCCTTCCTTTTTTTTTTTTTCTATTTCAGATCATAATCAAAATAAAGCAGAATTCTACTTATCAAGATCTTGCAGAACGAATGCCATAGTACTATGAAAAATGCTTTTCAATAAAACAAGATACTTATTAGAATTGACATCAAGCCGAAATATTTCTTCAAAATAGTCTTCTAGGACAAGATTTATGATGCTCACAAATGTTCTGTTTGTCTTATGAAATATATCAAACAAGATCTTCAAAGATTTTTTATTTGCTATGCAAATCGGACCTTTAGACACGATAAGAAAGCTTGTCAGCGCAGTTCCTTTGTCACTAAAATGTGGAACTTCCACGTATTCTTTAGCTTCAATATACTAATACAAAATACACAAAGTAAAAAAATTTCTAAGAGACTATTGTTGTTTTCTAAGGACAAACAAACGCTAGGAAAGCGATTCGTATAATTAATTTCTACATTTCAAACAGAATTGCTTTCTTTTTTTTCTTCTATTTTTGTACTCCACTTTTCTTAATTTAACATTATAACTATTACTCTAACTTTTGATTCAACTGACAACTGAACCTGTTTTACATATCGATTATACCAACAGTGAAACTCGATAATTTTCGGAAATATTTGAAATGATGAATCCATGATGTGAAGAGTTAACTTTATTATCGAAGTGTAATAAGAGACTAGTGATGTAATCGTTAAGTGATTAGAGAAAAGAATGAACCTCGTACTAGAATTTTTCCTTCACTAGCTATCCTTGTGATGAAAACTCTCGAGTTGTACTATTATAAGAGGCATGCTGGAGTCAATTTATTAGTTGAATTAGAACTCACATACATATATATATATTTCCTGTCTCTAAAGGGCTAAGATCTTGAATATAATTTTTTGTCTACGTAAAAATCAAAAGCTGCACTATGCTGAATATTCAAGAACTTATACAAGGCATTCTAATATTGAAAAATGCTTTGAAATATTCTAGAAGAGTCTAACAAAAGAACATCGAAACCTAGCAGGATTTATCCCATACTAAGTTATTACAATTTTACTGAATTTTTGTCTCTAACAAGGTATTTTTGAAAAAAAGTCGAATTACGAAATTTCAGCCTAATTAGATACATTTTTCTTGAGATATTAAATATCCCAAAACAACCATTTGTCATAATGAAAGCCGCTTGTTTTCATATTCGAAATCTTAAAAACAATTATTTGGATTGATATTCTGTAATTCGATTTTTTTCACACATACCACGTCCGAGATAAAAAAAATCAATGCAACTGTAATAATTTGGACAGAACACCGCATAACAACCAATCCTTATAGGTTTCTACTAGTCTTATCGAGGCCTACTTATGAGGAAAACATCAGTTCAACTAACAAGTCACACTCGAGAATCTCCCCCCCTCCCCCCATAATTCTTATTGTTAATACTGTTCAGTACCTTTTTTTGTTACTAAGAAATTCTGAAAAATGAGTCTAACCCCTGCCATCATTGGTTCCTAGCGGAATATATCCAATGATTATCGACCTCCCGCCCCTCCTATTAGTTTCAGAAAAATAATTTAATAATTAATCTCGTAAGACAGAATTTATTCAAAACGTAAATATATCTTACTTCGACGTGTTCCATTATGTTTATGTGATTGTATTCGATTTTTTTCTTTCGATTTTTTCTTTTGTTTTTTTGTTTTTGATTGACGTGATGAATGATTTATTTCATTTGTATTTCCATTTCGACAATTATTACATATCCATGTTGTTGATCTTGGTGGACATCTTAATGGTGGTTCATGACATTGACAATGATAATATTGATGACATTGTGTACATTGAATTAAATCATTTTCAACATTACAAATACAACATACATGATCTTCATCTTCAACATCATCATTTTCCTCCTTCTCCTCCTCCTCCTCCTCGTCATCATCATCATTATCAACATTATCATTATCGGTATTTGAATCTGTTAAATCATCATTATTATTATGTTCATGACTACTTGTATTTGATGTTGTATCAACTTCCATATCATCATCATAAATATCATTTTCATAATAATCAATTTTTTGTTTATCTTGTTTAACACGTCGTTTTGATATTGATGATGGACGACATGCTGGACAATACCATAAATCATTTGTTGAATTAGTTATATTATCTGAATAATCACGTAAACATTCTTGGTGAAAACCATAACAACATTGATCACAAACAATAATATATTCATCTTTATGTTTTCTTCGACATATTTTACATTTAATACCAAGTGTTGATTTATTCCATGTTATAGAATTTTCAAATATCATCATTAAAACAAATAAACGTGAATATGTTTTACATGTTCGACAATCATTTATCCATATTTGTAAAAATTTTTTATCTGGTAAATTAAATATACCTGTTGCATATTTATCAGCAACAGTTTGTTGTAATTGTATAAGTAATTCAGCAAGATCAATACGTTCAATAGATTGTTTTAATTTTGTTTGCCATTCATTAAGATTTTCATTTATTGTAAAACCACCCAATGAACCAAGACGTAAACGTGTTTCAATATCTTCAAGTTCACTTTTAAATGATGATATTATATCATAGGTTGTTTCAAGATTTTCATCATGTTGTTCAATAGAATTTTTAGATTTTTTTATTTGTTCAAATTCATTATGAATACATGGCATTAGTTTTTTAAGATTAACTAATAAATTATGTTCACGTATACCACGATCATTTAATGATTGTAATAATTGTTGAATTATATTTTCATCATCATAAAGAAACCATTGATTTGGTTCATCTTTAGGTATTAATTTTTCACCATTCATAGAAGATGATGTATCTTGTGATGATGATGATGATGATTGAACAGAATAATTTATATCTGAACCAATCCAACCTAATGTGAGAAATAAAAAAAACAAAATAACATGTTCCGGAAGCTAATATGAACGATAGAAATAATAAATTATATCTCTATTTAGAACGATGAAAACATTTACAAGGTTTTTTTTTGATAGTATCGAACATATATGAATTGAAAAAGTAAATCTTTGTTTTTGTGAGAGGTTTGTAATAGAAAATTGAAAGGAAGTATGGAAATATAGGAATAAACATTTAGATCCAGGGACCATGACAAGTATTAGGATCTAATCTATATTGTGTTTCATATTTTAATCCCACATGAATTAATTACGTGTAAAGATGCTCAATTTTCTAGTATTTCCACTCCTTAGAAATCAACATGGGAAATTCTCTTACACGAATAGGAAAGGACAAAAGTTTAAAGCATTTGTATTTTTAAGTTTTCTTCTCGATAGTAATAATTAGGAAGACTTTGAAAAAAATATTTCAGTAAAGCTAAAAAGGATTCTCTATTAGAATTTGTCGACCTAAAAACTTGTTTAAACAAGAGTCTCTAGAAAATCCAGATCTTTCAAAACCAATATTCACACATTCCTTTGAAGTCTATTAGAAATGGTTTATCCGATAGAACAAAATCAGATGTTTCGATTCAACTATATTTCATTTACAGGAGGAGGCATCAAATCTTCAAACACGACAAAATCATTGAAGTTCTTCAGAAAACAAAAGAAGAATGCTTCTTGTATAGGGAACTGCGAAGTAGTTGTAAAAAAATTTTTAGGTTAACACATTCTTATGAAGAATTCCTTCTAGCTATTCGTAGTAAACTTAAAAATACCACAGCTCTAAACTTATATGTCAGCCACTATAGACAAGTTCGTTACATTATAAAAACTATATTCGAAACATTCGACAATATTTTTAACTATTTTTAAACATACCTTTCTCAACGAATAAACCTGGATAACCTCGAAAATACCAATATCGATTATAATTACGATCAAAACCTAATGGTTTAATTCGAAAACCATATTGTACATTAAGAAATGCATCCTAAATAGATGAAAAAAATTTTATTTTATTTTTAAATCGAAAATATTTTTTTTGTTTTTTTTTTCATACTTGATAAATTTGTTCTGCTTTTTGTATAGCTAATTGACGTTTTTGTTTTATTTGAAGTTTTTGTGCTTCAAGTTCACGTTTTTCTTTTAATTCTTTTGATATTGCAACCATTTGTCGTCGTCGTTGTAAAACACTTTTAAGATCATCATCATTAGTATTTTCAATTTCACCATTTTCATCACCAACAATTGGTGTTGATTGTCGATTTTCATCATTTGTTGTTCCATTACTATTTTTTGGTGTTATTAATGGTCCAAGTTTAGTTTGTTTTTTAGTTGAAACTTTTTCATTATCACCATTTTGTAATTGTAATTTTTTTTCTTTACTTTCTTCTTCATGTGCACGACGACGTTCAGATAATAATTGATTACGTTCACGTGATGCTTCAGATAATGTACGTGTTAAATATTCAAAATAATCAGACATTAGTTCATTATCTGTTGTTATTGTATTTACCAATAATAGAAGAAGATCAATCTAAATTGAATAGTAGAAAAACAAAATGTTAACTGTCATAGAATGTTATTCTCATGGATCTTATGTTGAATTAAAAAAGAAAAGAGTTATTATTCTATAATTTATGAAGAATCTAAATAATCGTTCTATTTACAATTGTTTTATATTTTTTTTTGTTAAGCTACTTACTCATCTACTTCGATGTTCCAACCAAAATGCAAATCATTTAAGAGTGAGAATGAAAGGTTGTTGTTGTTGTTGATCTACTCAATGAGTGATTACAGATGATAGCCTCTGTACACCAATAGAACGTGTTCAAACATCGAATTGAGAGGGAAATTTATGTTAAAATGAAGTTATGGACAATTTTCTACAAAAGCGTTTATCATATCGTGAACTCAAACTTAATTGATCCAACAGTGATTTTATTACTTGAAATACCATTGATCTTTATGGCGCGAGAATCTTTTCAGGTGTCAACTTGCTTTTCAATCGAGACGATATTTTTATTTGAGAAATGCTAATGAGTAATACAAACTTCTAGAATAGTTTGATTTTCTATCCTAATCAGGTTATATGGATTTACATCCCAAGAAATAAAATTTCGTTTTTATAGAAAAGTGGTTTGACATCTGGAAATATATCCTTGTCAATTCATAAGTATAGGAATTCGACATCAATCTACAAAGTATTTCATACATTTTTCTATCAATCCGAGATTAAATTTAACTTCAGTTTTGAACTTTAGCATAGCATCTCTCTGAAGATTAGTTTGGCCTCCTTCCTGAAATTTGTGGTTATTGTACTACATACTATATTTCTGTGTTCGTCTATTCAGAATAGAAAATCTATAGAAAACATTTAACTAATCTGATCAAACATAAGAATAAATAAAATCCTTTCAATCTATTATAATTTTTAAATGACAATAAAAATTTTATGATTATTTCTATGAATTAAATAATAAAAATTTACTTGTTCAGATATCGATAAATCTTTTGTTTCACAATTAGCTAATTTATCTAATATATCATGATTATTATCATCTTTTTCTTTTAATAAATATAAACGTGTTAATTCTTGACATGTAAATGATGTTAATGGTATTTGAGATAATTGAATTGAATAAATTTGTTCAATATTTTTATCAATATCAATATGTTCATTATAATTAATATGATTAAAATTTTGTTTATTTATTTCATTATTTTCATTCTTATCATTATCATCATCATCATCGTCATCTTCTTCTTCATCATTATTTGAACGATTTTCATCTTCTTTAAATAATAATTTCATAAATATTTGTAAAATTTCAATAAAATAATTTGAAAATATTATTGTTGATGTATTAAGTAAATAATTAAATTTAAATGTACGTAAATATATTTGTGTTGTTTTAGGTATATCATCATTTAATGATAATGAAAATAATGAATGACATGATGTTAAAAATGTACATATCATAAGTAAATCACTTAAAGATTTTGATGATAATATTAAATTTGTTTGAATTTCTTTTGGTAATGGTATATCTTTAGTTAATGATAAATCAAGATCTTCAATTGGTTTTTGTTCTAAACGTTTTGTTTGTAGAAATAATTTTTTTTCTTCATCATTCATTTGTGATAAACGTCGTTTTAATTCAAGTTCATCATATTTTAGTTGTATTAATGAACGATATTCATCAGGTAAACGTAAACGTTGTTTATCATTTAATGTACGTGCACATTGAAGAATAAGACGATGAAAAAATTTTGAATCTATACCACGTTCACGACGTGTTTTATCTAATTTTTGTAATAAAGAATATGGAATAACTATATCATATGTTGTTACAGATGATTTTTCTAATAATTGATTATGATTTGTTGAATTTTTAGTAAATTTCATATCATCTAATGTTAATTGTTTTTTAGATTTTGTTGGAGATTTATTTTGTTTAGTTGTATTTTGAGATTTTTTTGTTGATGATGATGATGATTTCGAAGGACTTTTAGATGTTGATGAAACAGATTTTATTTTTTTAATCTTAGTTTCAATGGGAATTGTTGATTTAATTTCATCATCGGATAATATTATTTGACAATCATCAAAATTACCATTGGGAATTGATGCTATAATAAATAAATATGCATATATTAACAAAAAGGATCAATAATAATGATTGATGTTATTCTATTTCAAGAAATGTTAGAAGTTTTGTTTTGAATTGACATTGTATTTCTGTATCATTTTCGTATGATAATCTTCAAGATAATGTACAATAAATAGAGCTTGTCTCATGTCGAAAACCATGAGATGTGAAAATAATAATTTTTTCCGAAGACTGTTTTAATTGCTATGTTTATGAAGCGAGCGACGAAAAACGTCCAGCTGTTAGAAAAGAGATTCCTTGTCAATGGATCTTTCAATTGTATTTAGGTTATTTATACTACTCATATGTAGAAAACCGAAAAAGAATGTATAGCAGTGCGAGTGTTTCAAAAGTGTCACACTACACTAAGTGCTATAGGACAGCAGTAAGTGTAGTGTGACACTTTTGAAACACTCTGTATATGTCGCCAGGATTCAAAAGGTGAAATCATTCATTCATCGAATTATTTAATGTTAGTATTGGAATTAAGATAGATCTCGATAGTTTAATCGTACTCAAAATCACTTTATTAGAACACTATATAGAGCATTAAAAAATGTTTCACATTGAAAGAAAGCATTTGAAGAAATATTTTCGTAAGTATTTTAGACCGTGTTGCTTACTATTATTATTAATTTCCATTGATTTCTTTTTTTCTTCGCGAGCAGCAGCTTCTTCTTCAGCTAATTTACGTGCAATTCTTTCTTGTTCACGAAGAATTTCCTATTGAAAGAAAATAATATTTTGTTATAATAATCGAAAAATAAAAAAACGGAAAATTTTACATCAAGAGTAATTGTCAATGATTTTTTAATTTTATCAATTCTTTCTGATGGTATAATATCTTTTATTTCATATTTATCTTTTATGGAATCATCATAAAATATCCATGGACTATCTGCTCGATTGCCAAGTCTAATAGCATAGGAACGTATAAATGTTTTTAATTTTTCACGATTAGGTATAAAACTACATCGTCTAGAAAAATAAAATAAAATAATAATTTTTTTTGTTGTTGATAATTCTCTTTAGCTTACTGTAATTCACTTGGTAAAACATTATTAACAATACGATCTTCATCAAATAATCGAATTGAATACTTAACATTTTTCATTTGCTATTGAATTAGAAATTATTTAAAACAAAAAAAAAAATTTGCCTTGTTTTTACTTTATCTGAAGGTGGTTTTGCTTGAACAGATGCACGTTCGGATGTTCGTTTTTTAGGATCATCATTATCTTCAATTCGTTCGACAATACCTTTGACACTATTTATATATAAAATTATATTAAAAAATAAAAATCATACACATATATATTTACGTTATATTATCTTTTTTCTTTTTAAATTGAACTATTTCATCAATAACAAAACTTTGACTACAAAAAAAAACAGAAAAAAATAATAAGAAACAAAAAGAAAATTCAAATCATTTATACCCAAGTATAATCGATACTTCTTCAGCTAATTTTTCTAATGGTTTTACATCTATAAAAAAGAAAAAAAAAAAAAACCATAGATGATGAAAACTTTAAATTTTCTTCTTACTATGATAAATAATATCAAAAATTGGTTTATGAAAATAATTTGGTACAATTGATATTAAAGATTTTCTTATTTCAATTTCTGATTGATATGCTTCTTTATGTTTTAAACCAGCTCTCCATGTACATTCACATGTCCATCGTTCCAAATCATATGCTTTTTTTAATTTTTCATATAAATCATAATTATGAAATATTTCACCTGTATGTTCAATAGTATAAATTTCTTCATTATTTTCTTTTGTATTTTCATCTTTATTATTAAGATGAAATAATCTTCGTCCAAATAGAGGCATTTAGAAAAACAAAAACAAAAAACAAAAAAAGAATTTTTTTTTTTTCTTAAATTAAATATTCATATCTAAAGATAAAATACATTAAGATAAACACTCGATTTGATTGTCATTACATTTATTATAATAATTGGTGTGTGTGTGTGTGTGTGTGTGTATGTGTGTTTTAGTATCAAGACATAGTGTTACAAACTTCTTGATAGAAAAAAAAAATAAAATAAAAATACCACTTTTGGAATAGAAAGATAAGATACAACGATACAAAACAAAATAAAAATATATATTTCTTCTTTCCCGATTTTATACATTACGACAACTAATCTACATACATTAAGCAAGAAGTTTGTTTCATTAATTAATTAATAAATAAAATACGCGACAAGCAAATGGGTTACTGTACGAAAGACTTTCGATTCTAATTTATGATAGAAGCAAACAAGAGAAGAAAGAAAAAAAAAAAAAAAGAGAGAAAAAAAGTAGAACAACACCGGTTAAAAGGAAGATATAATAAAAGAACGTTAGTATATTTTTCTTGGTGGTTATTTTGTTTTACACATAGTAAAAGCCCCTTACACCAACAAGATCTTAACATTTTTTCTATACAGACATACCGGGCTCTTTTTAAGAGTCAAAAAAAAAAATAAAATAAATATTGAAATTTGTCTATGTGTTCAAAAAGAGAAGAAAAAAACGAAACTAAAAAAACTACCGATTAGAATAAGTAGAAGAGTATGTTTTATTTTTTCTCTTCATTTAGATCACTGGGCAAATTTTCACCAGTATTTAAAGGAGAATTATCTATTGTTGATGTTGTATTATTACGTTGATTATTCATTGTACAAATAAAATCATTAATATTATCGCGGAAATGAGACCAGACTTTTTCTGGTATTGTAATAGCTGTTCGATAATTAGGACGAACCTAAATATGATATAAAATAAGATTTTTTTATAAATGAATCTCGTCTTTTTTGTTTTTGTTCACTTCTCTTACTTCTGATATACGTAAGAAAACACCACGATTATTTGAACCAGTATCAAAATAAAAATTTTTATTTCCAACACGAAGATATTTACTTTCAGGTAATTCAGCTGGTTCTAGAATAAATAAATTTGTTTTTTTTTAAATCTATCTAATGAGCAATATACAACGAAGCTCTTCATACTATTTATGTACTTTTATTAATATCATAAAAACTATAAAGCAATAAGAATAATGATCTAGGTAAGTTTAAATCATTTCGGAGAAAATCTTATTAACTACAATTACTTATGAAGTAAAAATTTTGGTATAAAATATTCATACATTTTTTTTGGACAACTGGAAGCCGTTAGTTGGGATTCCGGAACTTCGCCAAATAGCACTCTCGCCACTGGCGAAGATCCACTGTACTTTCGCCAATGCACCCCCTGGAACTTTGCCAATTGGCGGAAGTTCACTGTACTTTCACCGATATACCCTTTGGAATTTCGCCAATTGGTGGAAGTACAGTGGGCTTTCGCCAATTTGACTGTGAACTAGATATAGATTCGAAAATTTCTATCGGCAATATTGATGAGTGTAAGCTATGATAAACATTCTAACAACATTAGCTCCAGCTAGAGCCCGTTGGATCTACTAGGACTCGAACCCAACCGGTTGCGGGTTTGACAGCTTTGTAATCAATGAGTTCGTGTCTGGGTTCGGAAAATTTTACTGATCGGATCAAGATCCACAGAAATATCTCATGTATATATTAACCTTTTTGGAATTTCTTTCTTTCATTTTTTCTCTTAAAAGATCCATCAATCGGGTTCGGCTCCAGAAATTCTTGAATTCGACAGACTGTAGCTTCAACTCTTACATATATCCTGTATTAATAGTATTTCGTGACAGTTGGGGAAAGTTTACTGTACTTTCGTTAATTGGCGAAAGTACAGTAGAATTTCGCCAATATACCTCTGAACTTTCGCCATTGGCGAAAGTCTTATTGGCGAACTTCCGATAACCCCGTTAGTTAAAATCGTATTTTCTAACTATATGTTCACAGTTTCTTTCTGGAGTAACATGAAACAACTATGCTTTCAAAATATGTACGGAATATTATTTTAATTGAAACCTATCAAATTTAAAGTGTGATTTTGTATTATTAAAAGTAATTTCTCAAATAGAAATTTTGTAAAATTCATATATATTTCGAAAGAAAAATACTGTATAAGTTTCAAGTTCAAATCTTGCAGTTCCGCCTTCTTCCACATCATAAACCATGAGCAGTAGAAAAAAGTATAAGTTGTACACTATTCAAGAACATTCTGAAACCTTCCTCGATATACCATTGGCTGTAATACATTTATTGCGCAGTTCAAAAATTTTATATTTAAAATGCTCAGAGTAATGAGTAATGATACACTGATTTGCTAGAGTAGTCATAGAATCAACATACGAAGTGTAAATTGATCAAATTATAACTTTTTGAAGAATAATCAATATCAGTATTTGAGAATTTCTTAAGAAATATTATAATGCGTTGACACATTACCGCAGATCTAATGGATATGTGCTTGTCAGTGAAATCAATTGTTAGAATAATGTTAAATTAAGAAAAAATGAAAAAAAAAAAAACAAAATAACCAACGAATAGCAACAAAGCAAACAGAATACTAAATAGGAGAGATCATATCTCTAACGATTGATTATCTTCGGAAAAAAAACCCTATAAACAGCGAATGGGTTTTTTTTTCATCTTTTCTGTATTAAGAAGTTATCTCTTTAATAGATGAGATTTCGTTTATTATAATATTTCATTTTATACAGAATTTAATGTTCTACGATACTGTTATAATCTCTTATCCAAGAAAGGAAATTTGAACATGTATTGAGAACTAGTAAAAAATTTTAATTCTAAATCAGTGGTTTGCCATATGATGTAAATATTTTGTGCGAAGACTGTCACACTGTAGGATATGAATAATGATTTTTCTTATGTAAACTCTACTATCAAAAGTAACCTTTAATTTGAGTACTTCAATTAGTACTCTCCTTAAAATTTCGACATTTTTATTAATATTATTTCTATATTAGAAGTCAATCTCAATAATTGTAATTACATTATAACACCCATAAGATGTCATAATTCAATATATTTCTAGTTACAATTGCGCAACTTTTGAAGAAGATTTTTTTGTTTTACAAAAAAAAACAATACTCTTACTACTATTCATACAAATTTCATTTCTAAATGTTTAAAACATATAGTTAAAAAAAATAATTATTTAAACTTACCTATTGCTGGTAACGATTCGATACTATCTAAATAAACAATAATTAAAATAATATCATTATATATACATTCGTCTTTGAGATAAGTAGTTGCCCTCTATAAAATCCTTCTATTCTTTATATTATTGAACTGATATTTTCGATGCATATGTGCAACATTAAACTTTGCTAGTAAACATCAACCTGCCCTCTATCGACTTAGATGTAGTAAAATTATGACTCATATATCATCTTATCTTAAACATGTTCTCATAAATATTGTCGTTGAAAACTTCAATCGAAAAATCAACATCGTCGGTTATCTCTAATCTAAATTTTTTTAAAACAACTAAAATATTATTTTCTCATTTATAATATTTGTTATAAAAAAACTTTTTTTTTTGCAGTTGCTGTATGTCATAAACTCAAATTAGTGTAACACTATGAATTAACGTTTTCAAAACTTACTAATCAATAAACCCATGACTATATGTCATATCCTTATATAATATTAAAGTAGACATATGGTAATGCCTTTAGCATTAGAAAACAAAACAATAGCGCCTTGTAGCATAAAAAAATGGCGAACAAGAAATTTTTGAGTGCACAAAAGACAAAAACATATGTATGAATCATAACTATAGTACATATACACAGATCGATGGCGACTTTGTCCTAGTGATTATAGTTTATTGCTATTTGTATGGAATAGAAACACAACATATCGCCAGAACTCGTGATAGTTTTTCTAACGAGGGAAGGCCACCAACTGTTCCCTCGCGTTTGAGTCGGGATTATGTGCATCACGTAGTCCGTAATGAGTTATTGCATTTTTTACGGTATTTTTTAATAGAAGTCTGTGGTCCCTCTCAGGAACACGAGGAAAATTGATTTTCGAATTTCGACTTGAAACTTTGCACAGAGATAGGACCTAATGGAAATAGTTTATTGTGAAAGTTTCAGATCTTTTCGTTGTCCCTATCCGGAAATACGAACATCCAGACTTCTCATGTGTATGAGCGATGTAAAAGGCACACTTTTAGCATAGCCGTATCTTACGGTGGGAACAACGAAAAGATCTGAAGCTTTCACAATAAACTATTTCCATTAGGTCCTATCTCTATGCAAAGGTTCAAGTCGAAATTGGAAAATCAGTTTTCCTCGTCTTCCTGAGGGGGACTACAGCCTTCTATTAAAAAAATACCGTAAAAATGCAATATCTCATCAGCAATAAGCTATTAGCCCGAACTCTTTTCAGGGTTTTCATAGCTCATTAGGGACTATGTGATGCACAAAGTCCCGACTCAAAAGCGAGGGAACAGTTGATGGCCTTCCCTCGTAAGAGTCAAATGGGCTTAAAATTTAATTTTTGATAATAGTTTAAAATTTTTGTAAAGACAATCGAAGGCTAGCTTTTTCACATAGGAAAATGATTATTTTATATTTTACCATGATCATCTTCATTTCCAAATTCTTCAATTAAACTTGTTAATGTTTCACATAGTTGTTGTATACCTTGTGCTGGTATAGCAATTTGTGTTCGTGGTGTATTAACACCAACCATTGATATACGTAAAAATCTACCACGTTCATTTTCTTTTAAATCAAGATAATATTTTCGATCATCACGTGATATAACAGATGAACGAAGTTGATCATTATTAAAAGATTGTTCATCTTAAAAATAAATAAAACAAAAAAGAAATTCTCAAATCAAAACCGAAAAAAAAAACGTCTTTTTGTATAACCTAATGTGCGAAGATGTGCATCAAATGATTGTAAATGATCACGTAATTCATTTGCAATATTCATTGACATTAATATACGACTTTTACGACCACCGGAACTAACCTGTAACAAACACACAGAGAAAAAAAAACAAATATAAAAAATAAAAAACATCATAACGACTATTAATTACTTCAGCTATTTTTAAAAATCGACCACGCCGGTTTTGTTTAACATCCAAATAAAAACGTTTCGATTGTATATGAAGTGTTTTACTTGCTAATTCTTCTTCATTAGCCAACGCGCTACCTATAATACAAAAAGAATTAATTAATTAATTCAAATGATTAGTTTAGATTTTATTTATTCAAAGAACCTTGTTGTTCTGGCTGCTGCTGCATTCGATTATCATAATCATTGCGCGATGGCATATTATAATCTCCTTCAGCCATTGAGAGAGTTTAACCGCAGACAGACAATAAGCGCGTGGCGTTTTTTTTTTCTTTTTTTTCAAAAAAAAAAACAAAAAACAAAATCCGCTCTCTCCCTCAATCACACACTCGTCAGATGTTGGCGTTTTCTCGCCGACGGATGACGCGTCTATTCCCGTCAATCTGAAACATAAAAATACTTGTTTGTGAATGTGTTCTCTCTCGCTGTAAGGAGCAATTGCAATATAACCACTAACTAAATAATACTCATTCTCTCGTTCTTTCTTTTCTTTGTGTATGCGTCTGTGAATGTATGTGTGTTGTGTTTTTTTTTGTCGTTCTTTATGAATAAATGATTGGTTCATGAAGGAAATAAGTACAAGTAATATGGTTGTTTATTTATTAGTCAGGTAAATAAAGAAAAAAAAAAACAAAATGAATAGACATTTGATGTTTTTCTTTTTTTAAGTACGATTCATTTGAGTTTTTTTCGATATGGAAGTTGTTTCTCAAAATATTTATTTTCTTTTTTAGCGACATCTACTGCTTTTTATCGATTGAAGCATTCATTTATTTTATATGAGAGTCAAGGAGTGTTTGCTTATTTATTCTTTTGCATTTATCTATGACTATCAATCGTTATTATATTTGTTTTGTTTTTTCTTTTTACATTTACTGATTATTTTAGTTTGTGTTGAAAATTTATTCTTGAAAAAGAAAAAGAATATTTTCATATATTGAATAATGGCTGATCAACTAACTGAAGAACAAATAGCTGAATTCAAAGAGGCTTTTTCTCTTTTTGATAAGGATGGTGATGGAACTATTACTACCAAAGAATTAGGTTTGATCAAAAATAAAAATGAATAAAAGTCTTTTTCTTATTTTAAATGTATAAATTTTGTTTTATTTAAATTAGGTACGGTTATGCGTAGTTTGGGACAAAATCCAACTGAGGCTGAATTACAAGATATGATCAATGAAGTAGATGCCGATGGTGAGTTCTATGTTTTGTCAGCTTATAGGATTTGCATGATCCCAAGACAAACCGACATCGGGTATAATTTGGCTGATTTTCTAATAAAATATCAATCAAATTTTTAATTACATGCACTGATATTTTTTTTGACCTAAGAGGTCATGACCAATGAATAATTTTTGTCTTAGACCGTAATCAACCTACACAAGTCATCGACTTAGAATATATAGGAAGAATCTTTTGACTAAAATTATTCCAATCTAGAGGAATTCTTTGATAGATTGGCATGATTTGAAAAATAGAATGAATTATTCTTAGGAAAATTTGATAAGAGATTGTTGACTTGAATTTTTTTTTTCGTTAAATATATTTCCTGATCCTACGAAGTATTCGTAATGTTTCAATCAAACTAGTTACTTCCTTTTTGATATATTTTAACAAGAAAGATATCGTTTTAATCGAAACTGTTAGAATAATCTTACAATTATGAATTATATTAAAAAATTCGAAAACGTAAAAAAAATTCACTATTCCATTTTACTTCGAATCCCCCCCAGTGTTTCATTAATATTCAGGAAACCTCACGTAGATTTACAGGAAACAGCCTATGGACTTTTTTTTTGAATTATTCTTACCTAGAAATTCTTTCTATACGAGATTGAACATGATTGAATCATTTCGAATGGTTCGGCCATTTAATCTAAAGAATTATTTTCTTATGTTAATTTCATTTTAATTGAACGATAATCATTAATGAATTCATTTTAAGGTAATGGGACAATTGATTTTCCCGAATTTCTCACAATGATGGCTCGTAAAATGAAAGATACTGATAGTGAAGAAGAAATTCGCGAAGCATTCCGTGTATTTGACAAAGATGGCAATGGATTTATTTCAGCAGCTGAACTGCGGTACAATAGAATCTCTTTTTTTTGTTTTTTTTTTTCATTATATTTTTATTTCTAGTCATGTGATGACAAATTTAGGTGAAAAATTGACGGATGAAGAAGTTGATGAGATGATCCGGGAAGCAGATATTGATGGAGGTATGAAAAAAACAACAAATTGAAACTTTTGTTTTTTAATTTTGTAAAACAAAATCTTTATTTACTTTAGATGGTCAAGTTAACTATGAAGAATTCGTTACAATGATGACATCAAAATAATAGTGACCAATTAACGTATCATTCAACATTACTTAATTACATAATTTTTTTTTTCTCTTTTGTTTTTTTCTTTTTTGTCATCGTTGTTGTACGCGTGTATGCTGTTTTTTTCGTTTATTTCTTTTATTCTACGATCTTCTCTTTTTCTTTTTCAAGAACTATTTACTATTTAACACAAATAAACATCAATCTTTTCTTCTTTTCTTTCTTTTATCGCAAAAACACAACACACACACACATATATCCTCAATCAAATTATAATTTCGTTATGTTCCAAAAGATGTCAACGTTTTTCTTTTTTTTTTCGTTCTTCTTCTTTTTCTTTTGCATCGTTTATATATATATCTACATATATACATATAATTATTCAATTGCTCAGCGAAATATCTATTTCAACATACATAAGAACACCTGTTGTTGTTTTTTTGTATATTTGTTTTTCGAATACTAGAAACAGTTCTAAGATTAGTCAACATACATACTTAGATGTAATACCTAAAAGTAAAATATTCACAAATAACTTCAACTCTATATGTGTTGGTATTACATAAAAAGAGAGAGAAAGAATGAATGATGATACAAATATTATTATTTGTACTTTTTATGTCAGCTTATCCCTTCGTAATTGTGTGCATGTGTGTGTATACTTTTTTTCTCGCTCGTTACAATCACCCTATCTTGATATCCATTTCTTTTTCTCGTTTTTTTTTCTCATTTCATGAAAACAAAAGACAATAAAAATGAAGTTTAATGAATCATGAAGAATCATTGTTCCACATTAAAAAATAGAATTTCGATTTGAATATTTATTCAAGCTCTCATATATAAGACGACAAGTATGCGACTCTTCGTATTTGTTTTTGCTCTGACAAATCTAGAGAATTGCATGCTTGTGTAAGACAAAGAGAATAGACCAACAAAAAAATAAAACTTTAATAATTCTTTTTTTGTCGATCCGTCGAGCAAGAAGACGGCGATGGCAGCAATGTCAGCGTCGTCAGTCGTTGTTCGACCGCCTAGAAAAGAAAAGAAGGAAGAAAATATGAATGATCAAAGAGAAGAATATGAGCTTAAAGCAAAAAAAAACGAAGGAAAAAAGAGAAAGTGTAGAGCTTCAATTCGCTTGACACGTCTCATTTTGCCGTTACAATCATAAACAGGCAGCAACCATTCAAAAGTGACTTAATAGAATGACAAGCACTGAAGCAGTAAGTATTTCTTGTATTATAGGAGAGTTGATTTGATACCTGTGAGTAGGGAAAAACAGCCGGTTCTTCTATAAATAACACAAATGGTAAGTGATTCATTTTAAAAATTTTATTTTCATTGATTATTCATCAGACACACCATTACAATCAATAATCGAAACACCATTAACTGAGTCACTTGTCAATGAACTTTTTCATCAACAAAATAATGTAGATTATACTTTTTTTTTTTTGTATTTTACTTTAAGACATTTTCTTTTGTTTCTTCTTTCTAAGGATGGTTCTTTTCCAGCGACAGAAAATATTGGCAAATTATTTAACGTTAATTTTGAACTAATTAAAAATCAATTAAAAGAAAAAGGCTTAGAATCATCAAGTAAATCAATAAAAAACAAAAAAAAAATTTTCGTTTCAATTTCATTTATTTTCTTTAGTTTCCGATGAAATTCATCGACTTATATCAACAGCTTCCGTTCTTTTTTATTTTTTATATCATAGTCAAAAAACAAAATTTCCTGTTGATATTGCTACTATAAATCAATTTGTAGCAAAAGCACGTAATGAATTAGAAGGTGTAAGTATGAAACGAAAAAATATTTTCGATGAATAAATACATATTCAAATATCTTTTCTATTAGATTTCACTTAAAGATGATCCAATTATTCAAACATATATTGATAAAGGTGAATTAGCTGTGAAATATGTGATTGATACACGTGAAAAATATGCTAATATTTGTAATGGTTTAAAATTGTCTCAACCTAATTGGGAATTTTATATTCAACATTTAATGGGTTTAGACAAACAAAAATAGACCATATTCACTTTTTTTTTTTCTAAACAAAATTTCATACTCTTCTATTATATTTGTGAATAAAATTAACTAAAAAAAGAAAAGCAAACAACCAATTATTTTTGTTCCAAAATATTAACAAAGTTAAATAAATTTGATCATAAGGAATTATCATCAGATGTTGATTGGATGAGGAAAGATTAAAATTTCGAGTTTGTTACTTGAACTTTGAAAGATTCTGAATTGTAATCATATAATAGATAGTATTATCTTCAATGGTATGTCCAGTCAAAGGCTATTGGGCATTTGGTCACGGCTTGAAAACTCGCTGTCTATGGTTCTTTTTTTTTTTAGACGATGATAATAATTAGATACTCTACATTTGATTTCCTAAGGATATTTTGAAAATAGTAACGACTGCCTAGAGCTGTCTATTCCTTAGAACAGCATGACTGGTAAATTACCCACAAATAAAAAAACTGTTGACTACGCCACTAGTTATCTTTATCAATTAATTAATTTTATTCTCGTTTTATTAGATGTATTATACTTCTATAATTTTATGAAAGAATTCTTGGTTCTTTTAAATGTAAGTGACAAAATTTTTTTTTTATTCACGGTCAATGAATTCTTTTCTCTTTCAGTGAATCATAAAACAAGTATGAACTATATGAAAAAAAAGATTTCAAAAGACTCCTTTCTACTTGATATCTTGTTACACAATATGATTTTCTCTTTAACGAAATTTCTAATCCGTCAGTGTTTTATGCTGTATGAATACCAAGAGAGGATGGCGCTTCTCTGAAGATCTGCTTGAACTTCTCGAAGTTCATATTATTGTACTATATATAATGTGTCTGCGTTCGCAATAGATAGTTGTTTATCCTTCTGAAGTTTTAAATCATTCCTCCGGAAGAAAAAAATGTCGATAAACAACTGTAATGTACCCAATATGCGAATATTTTATTCGAAACAATACACATCAAACATTATTAATCAAGTCACGTTCTAAGATAACTCTCTTGTAGATTTTCATTATAGAAAATAAAAACAAATTAATGATGCAACTTTTCTTTATGTCAAATATTGAGAAGATTCGACATCCCCTCCCCCCGTTTGTATAATATTTTCTTGTTGTAAGAATATAGTTCATCACTTTCATCGAATTAAATATTATTCATTCAAGTCTTTGTCTTTAAATTTATTTGTATTACGAATAATTTGACTTTATCAGATCAAAAAGAAAAAAAAAAACACAAAGAAATCAAACATCACATATTGTGCATTGTCTGTTAAAAAAGGAAATTAATATTAGCCTAGATAAAATTCCAACAATCAATCATTTGTTTTTGTTTTTTTAAAAGCCATTATACAATCGATGTTTTGATTCTTGATTTAATAAAGTTCGTACGGCTAAAAAATATTAAATAAAACTAATAATAAACAGAATTCGAAATGATAAAAATTTACCTTCACGTTGTTCATCATTAAGTTCACCTTTTGGAAAATCAACATCAATAGTAACATAAAGATCACCAACAATAGTATTTTGATCATGTTGTGGAAGGCCTTCGCCTTTTTTCTTAATACGAGCACCTGGCCATGTTATCTTTTCACGATTGATTGTTACCTATAACAAAGATTTATATAGTTTAAATTAACTAGATAAATAGTATCGTACTTGATGTCCATCAAGATGAGGAAATGACATATTAAATCCATTTAATGCATCTTGAAGAGTAATTGTTAAATTTGTATACAGATCATTTTTTTTACGTTCAAAATATGGATGTCTAAAATTCGAAAATATTTAGTTAAAAACAGATTCGAAGATTTCAGTGTTTACTTTTGAATACGAATAATAAATTTCAGATCTCCTGGTTCACCCTCAATATGAGGTTCACCTAAACAAATGAACAAAAAAAACAAAACAACTATAGTCTTGAACAAAAGTAACTACCCCTCATGAATCGCTACTATTCGTTCTAATACTGATTTGATAATTGCTACTAAGTAATAGAAAAATTTAGAATGGTTTTAGTTTCACAACAAAAATTTATGGTCTCTCTTATCTCACGTTGAAAGTCAAATTGCAACTTGAAGCTTTACACAAACAAAGCTCTTAACAAGATTAGTTGACTATTCAACTAGTATCTTCTTTCTCGAGATGTAAATGTATGAACAAGATTTGTTTTACATATGAGAGAATTTCTCAAGAACAAAAGTCTAAAAAAAGCAAACTATTCTTGACTTATCTATTATTCTCTAGTACTCATCAAATGAATATCATTTCAGTCAAAAAATGATTTGATATCTAGAGAGTTATTGTCCTATGCGTTTACTCAAAATATCATCATAATGTTATAAAGAATAGTAGCATTTCCTATGAATCAGTTACTTTTATCCAGGACTGTATAGTTTTATTATACAACAAACCTTCAGCATGAAATGGTATTTCATATCCATCAGATACACCTGGTTCAACTTCAATTTCTAATACTTTTTCTTCAGTGACAAATCTATAGATGAAAAAAAAAAGAATTTTTTATGAAATCTTTCAATATGAATTTTATTTACTTGATATTTGGACATTCATCGCATACTTGTTCTTGCATCATTTGAAACTAAAATAAACAAAATGAAATATCTCGTTTTTTGAAATCATTAATTGATCTCTGTCAGTATTACAGCTATGCAACTCAATGTTTTGCGAACTAAGACCGAAAAAAAAACGAACCAATGAAGATCGCATATCACCTTTAGAATTTTATTAATTTCCAAACTCAAATTAAGGAATTCTATTTTCTTCTATAATGACTGATTATTGTTAAAAGATAATCCTATAGAAAATTAACTAGTCCCTGTCTAGAAAAAAACTATTCTGAAGATTATTTGTATTATATCTAAAAATTTTTCAAAAGTCACTTGTTTTTTTTGAATTAATCTCTTCTCGTTGGGACAATTTTTTTTCTCTTACTATCTGTTCCGATCTGAGCAAGTTCTCTTTCCTATGATTCCGGTCCTGCACATTGAAAAGTTGTATTCATGTAGAACACGACTTTGGACATCCCATAAAGTCAATGATTGTTTGATTTCTACTGAATTTTTCAATCCCTTCGATTCTCAAAAACAATCGGAAATCTTGGTATCGATCATAAATTATATTAATAATCTTACTCGTCCAGGACCCATTTGTGTTGTTCGCATTTCCATTCGACAATTACATTTTCTTGAGCCACTTGTTGTTCTTGCAACTGGTTTAGCTCGAACCACCTAACATAGAAATGTTTAAAAAAAAAAAAAAAACTAAATTCGTAATAAAATTTCTTTTTTACTTCAATAAAATTTCCATTATACACTTCTTCAAGTGTTACATATAAATCCATAACTAAATCTCCACCACGTGGAACATGATTATGTCCATCGTCTCTTGATCCACCACCAAAATTAAAAAAATCACCAAAAAAACTATTCAAAAACAAAAACGAAAATAATTTTTTTTTTCGCCTTTTATAGAAAAATTATCATGTATAAAAATTACCTTGAAAATGGATCATGAAATGAATCTGCACCACTTTGTTGTTTTAAACCTTCTTCACCATGTTTGTCATATATTTTACGTTTGTCAGGATCAGATAATGCCTAAAAAAATTTCTTAATTATTAATATATATATATTTTCTCTAAATTTATATTTACTTCATAGGCAGCACCCAAATCTTGAAAACGTTCTTGTGCTTTTGGATCATTTTTATTCTTATCCGGATGTAATTCTTTTGCTAATTTTCGATAAGATTTTTTTATTTGATTTAATGTTGCTGTTTTTGGTAAATTTAAAATTTTATAAAAATCTCGACTAAAATATAAAATAAAATTTTTTGTACTTAGACAAAAAAAAAAAATTACGGACCCAGCAGAAATTAATGTCACTAAGAAGACTAATAATAATATAGATATATGTGCAATCTTCATCTAAAATAATTATTAAGAAATGAATTCAATATGTATGGAAAATAGAACACCGAATAGGAATATTTTAAATGCTGTATGACAAATATAATAAGGAATGTTTTTTAATGGAATAAGAAAAAAAAAGAAAAATACTGTGATTAAAACGAAACAAACAAACAAAAAAACAAGATAATTAAAATTGTAAATCATCATCATTCAAAAGATTATTAACATCTTCAATAACGGATTCTCTTGTTTGATTAGGTTCAGATGATTGTTCAAGAAGTTTTAAACGACGATCAAAATTATCCATACGACGCATTATACTTTCTAATTTAGCCACTATACTATCATATTGTGTATCATTTGATGTTTCTACTTTTTCGGGTGGTGGTGAAATTTTCTTTATTGGAACAGCAGAAGTTGTATCCGTCTAAACAGAATACAATATATAGGTTATTTGTATTAAAGAAAATAATAAAAAAAAAAGCATGTTGATAGTAATAAACAATATCATTTAGTACATCCACGCAAATTTTTTATGATGGTTTATATAATATATGTCCAAAGTAAAAAAAAAGGTATACAAGTTAAATCATATAAATTTTAAAGTCTTTTGAAAAATATAATAGAATAAAGCTTGAATTACATCGAACTTGATTGAAGTGAGTTTTTTTGTAACATTTATTTCAATTTATTCAAATCTTTAGAATTATTTTTCATTCGTATAGTTTGTACATTTTAACATATCGAAAAACGTAAGCTCCCATACTCATTGTCTACTTGAAAATGGATAAATTTTAAAAGCTACCCTAAAAAATTGTAAATTTTATAAAGAAAACGAATGTTCTTTCATCACATTCGAAAGCATTTATGTGTTAGTAGAAATAAAGCAATGTTATTAACTTAGAAGAAATTTAATTTAAAAAAAATATTATATCAATTGATAATTGGCAGATTTTTAATTGAACACGAGACATCTTTCAAATAGGAATAGACCATCAATCTAAAAAATGTAGATAGATTAATATCTTAACTTTCATCTATTACACTCGAATGCTTAAATTTTTCAGTGATAATGATTCACGCTATAACAATGACTAACACTATTGTATTTAAAAGACACGCAATCATCTAAAAGTTTACCTATGCCTGTAAGGATTTAGACTCGAATATATTTACTATGGTTGTACTCTCGTTAAACAAAACAGGAAATATTCTTTCTACATTATTGGACAAGTAATTCATGAAAAAAGTCATTAAATTTTGCATACACGAAATTGTTCATAAAAGTTAACTCAAATTATGTTTTATTCAATCACACATCTATTTTGGATTTCAACGAATAGGATATATGAATAAACTCATCTCCTTCAAAAAAAGAAAGCAAGAGTTAAATAATAAATTATGAAGCAACCGATGAGAATCTTATTGCATTTGAAAACAAAAACGAATAGAATATAAATTCAACAATCGATACTTTATAGTTTGATAGACATTCTTCTAATACATTGATACGTCGTTCATGTCCTTGGATTAATATTTTTATAGAATTTAAATCTTCAATAAATCTATTAACATACTGAAAAAAAAATTATTATTATTTAGTATCTTGCAACTAGATCGAATGCCCGATAATAAATGAAAACTTGACACTTTAACATAGTTTTACTTTGCCAAACTTCTATTTATGTAAACGATATTATTTTATCGATTTTTAATAAAAAATTCATCTACAGATAATGATGAATCAATTGCAAAAATTCGTATCCATATTCATGAAAGAAAATAAATGTTATATACCTGTACTTTATGATGAATACCATTATTACTATCATTAGTATTTTGATCTATTGTTGGTTTTGGACTTGAAGCTGGTTTTTCAAAGACAATTGGTTTTTGTTGAGTGGATTGATTACTACTATTGACACTTGATGGTGATTTTGGACCCAAATGAAGATCTCGAATAGATATCTGAAATTTAATTAAATTAAATATTATAAAAATATTTCTTTCAATTTTTACCAATTTTGGATCAGCATCTACTCCATTAATCCATTCATCAGCAGTTATAGCATGTTCTTCAGCAGCTGTATCCGGATAAAGATCATCTTGAAAAAGTTCAGACTAAATAAAATAAAATAATTCTATATTTATATAAAAAAAAAAATAATCATCATAAATAAGTTTACTTTTCGAGGTACAGTAAAATTAATTACTTCACATAGACCATTATTAAGTAATTTATAAAAACTAAAATACAAAAAAAATAAAAATATTCAAATTAATATTTTCATCTATACCGAGCTATTTCACATGAAGATATATTCAATCCACGTTTTGGCATAACACCTATACCACGTTGTGGATCTGATGATAAATATGTACTTAAATAATGAATGTAAGGTGCTTCTGGTGTATATTCAAAATATCGAATTGCTGAATCACCCTAAAAAATTCCAAAAATAAATTAAACAGTTTCTTTCCTTTTCAGACTGATGTAAAATTTTAATAATTACCTTTCCACATAGAAAAATAATATTAGTATCTTCATCATAAATTGGAAATAAAACTCCATTCGATGAATCAAGTTCTACCATTGTTAAAGGAGCACTTAAATCGTTCTACAAAAAAAAATTCTTTTTTCTTTATCAAATAAATTAACATTTCTAACAAACCTCATCCCAAACAGCATATTGTCGTTCAGCCATTCTAGAAAAACCTGTAGATAATATTCGTCCATCACGTAAATAAATCGCTCTTGCTGGTTTTCCACCTTGATGTCCTGCACCCGACTACAAAAAAAAGAAAAATTCAAATTATAACTCCTCTTCTATTTCATTTAATTTACTTGAATAATTTCACCCGTACGTGGATTAATAACACGAAACATTTTATCTTTACATGATGTAACAATACGTGAACCATTATAATTCCATGCAACACTTAAAATCATCTCTGAATGACAATCAATTGTTGATAATATTGTTGATTTACTAACATCCCAAATAAAAATTTTCATATCACTACCTAAAAATAAAATAAAATAGAAAAATTCTATTTTTTTTTTTGTTTTTACCAGAACTAAGTAAAACATTAAGTGCACTTGGATGCCAAAGTACTTGTCCAACACGACGTTGATGTGCAACAAGATCAACAGTTGATTGTGTTAATGTTGTTGTTATACCACCATCAGGTATTTGCCAAATTTTAACCGTACAATCTTCTGAACCACTTGCAATAACATTATCATTATGTGGACACCATGCTATATCAAGTACAGCTGCTTTATGACCAGTAACAAGTGGTACATCACGATCAACACGTCCAACTTTATCAAGTGGTAAAACAAGAAATGCACCACCACCAGCTGATTCCGTAATAATAGCAAGAAATTTTGGATTAACAGAGCAAAATGTTGAATCCCATGCACTTTTTGTTATACGAATATTATCATAACAATCAGATTTTTTAGTTGGTTGTCCAAAGACATGACTAAAATTAAGGCAATGAAAAACAAATTAAAAGAAAAAAATTGTTTTTTTTTTTTTTTTTAATAATAGAAATTAACTAACCGAAATTTGCTATTACGAACAACTCGAGCCATGAAGAATGATAATAGACAATAATGATAATGTTATGTGTTGTAAGAGAACAGCGAATACAACCTGAAATAAATATGAAATTATCATCTCGAATGTTGTTACATATATTTCTAGTCTTTTATGTCCTCTGCGGTATCACTCTGTGTAAGCAATTTTAGACGAAGATAAACGAAATTTTCTGTTTTTTTTTTTACCATATATGGTATATACTCAGCAAACTATGATTATAATATTTCTCAAAAACAAAATCAAAAACTACATGGCATATGTAACAATATACATGTGGGATGACGATAGAAAGAAACGAAAAAAATAATCATCGAATATCGATGAATCAATATGAATAATAGACAATTAATATTTATGTCGTTTTTTAGTATAGAGTATGTTTTTATTAATACATTCTTCACATATAAGGAAGAAATTTCTGATAATTTTTCTCATGTTTCAATTGATGATTAAAAACTATGTAGAATATTTATGACCAGAAACAAAATATCAAGTAATACTTTGATCACAATTCCTATCGAATAAAAAAAAAATAACAGAGGACGCAAAGAAGAAATAAAAAAGTATGAATATTCGACCTTGTCCGTCCTATCTCTATCTCCTTTTATTCATTCTCACTCACCTTGGCAGTTGCACTACTCTCTGATAAGCAACAGTATTATTTACATTTTGCTTCTGTGACACGTTGATTATATTGAAATTTTTTTGCTTGGCTTGGCTCGTTTTTTTTTCTTATTTATAAAAATATATCATAAATTAGAAATATTTTATTTAAAATTAAAAAAATATTTGTTTCATTAATTTAAAAAAAGCTCATGGACCATAAGCGTGGCATAACGTTGAGCTATTTCATTGGTTATTAAATTTTAACTTTCCTTTTTTTTTTTTTTTAATATTAAATACTCCCATCTATCATGTTTTTTTTTGTTTATTTTTAAATAAAGAAAAATTTTTTGTCAAATAAAATGAAATAAATAAATTTTAATTTTTTTATAGAGAAAAGTTTTTTTTTCTAGAAAATCTGAATGGTTATTTTTAATAAACCAATAAGAATAAAATGACATTAGTTAGTTAGTTTATTTTTATTTGAAGATATTTTTTCCAAAAAAACAAAAATGCGTTTATCAACAATTTTAATATTTATTTTCATGTGTTATGTCTGTTCAATAGCTAAAGCTATAAAAGATGAAGATTTTTCTGAATTTGATGATTTTGATCAAGATGAATTTGTTGTTGGTATGTTTAGTAATTAATTTCAAATGTATTATTGTTTTCTTATTGTTATATTAGAAACTCCATCGTCAACCGGTGCTACTCCATCATCATCATCATCATCATCAAAAATACAATCGAATAAACCAGAATCAACAAATGATGAAGATATACTTCAACCGAAATCAAGCGAATCAAAAGATGAAGAAGTAACGATTGATGATGACGATGATGATGCAATGTTTGATGACGAAGAATTTGAAATGGTAAAGATTTAAGATCGATAGCTTAGACTATGAGAAAAGAAATCTTAACAATATTATTATGTCCTATTTTTTAAGGAATTTCAATTGATAAATAATAGAATTTCTATAAATTACAAGACAAGGGAAAGAAATCGTAGCTTCAGTTCTTTTCTTCGTGTTCTAGCATTGTTTAGATCAGAGATGGAATCGGTCAGTCTATTTTATTTACTCTCCCGTTCTTATTAGGTGATCGGAATTTCCCAAACATGTCCTAAAATAATATTAATATAGTGTACATGTGAGGACCTAACCTAATATAGTTAGACTACATATGAGCGGATTGTAATTTTTTGATACAATAGAAATTTCATCAATAAGTTTTGCCTCTAACTAACTGACTGGGTGGATATATTTTATATGCTATCTCTCTTTGAGCATCATGCTTCGAAGCAACAAAATTTTATAAAAATCAAAGGAAAGGAAAGAAACAAAAGATAACGAATAGTTCGTTTTGTAGCGCGTGAGATGTTCTGTTGAAATATTTTTTTTTGCTTATATCCTTTTCTGTCTATGGTCTCTCGTCCGTGACACTCTATGACAATCACATCGTTATTTTATATAGAAGGACATTGTACTTCAATTTTCTATCAAGGTACACAAGATGAGGCAATATGAAGGTGTCTAAATGACAAAGAACTTGATTAGAAAATAATTGAAAAGAAATGATATGTTTCATCGTTTTGTAGAAGGACATTTTATAAATTTGTAAAATTATTTAAGAATTTAGCTATATAGCTGAAAAATTGTTTAGATCTACTTTAACTGATATTTTAGTAAAAGAAAAATGTGTATGTCTTTAGGTCTTATTTAATATGTTTTTGTGTTCGAATGTTAATGAAATCTACAAGCATCAATAATTTAAAATGTATTTCTATTAATTTTAGAGCATAAAACAGAAAGACGAATGTCAATAAAGAACATAATCATATTCTTAAGATTCTTTTTTGTTCGCATTACAAAAAAAACTTAGATAACATTGCCGGCTAATGAAATTGCTTACGAATAGTTTTTTATTTAAAGAAATTTGTTTTTATTTTAATTCATGATGAAGTGAAAATCGATGATGTCCTAATGTCTTACTTATTTCTCAAGATCAATTTCATTATTCTCTATATATTGATATATGTAGTGAATCAAAGAAATGTTTGTAGTCTACAAAAAAAGAAAAAACTCAATTTTTAAATTTCGAGTATTTTATGCAATGACATATTGAGACATTCCATAAAAACACTGACAAACGAGTTCGAATAATAATATTTTGATGTTTATCTTAAATATTTAGTCTGATTCATTTGCATCATCAAGTTCATCAACACCTGATTTTAAAATAGCTGAAGTTCCAGCTAATTTAACTGGTAATCGTTGGGAAGCATATTATTGTGAAGCAATAATGATGATTGCTCTTCTTGGTTATTTAATTAATTTTCTTATTGGTCGTACAAAAAATTCTCAACTTGCTACAACTATTTATCGTTCACAACGTGATTTACTTCAAAGAAATTTTTCACTTGTTGGTGACAATGGTCAAACAAGTGATACTCAAACAGATGAACCAATTAATACTATGCATAAAGAATCAGAAAATTTATATATATTATGGTGTAGTGGTCGAACATCAATTGATAGTATGCTTGTTGAATTACGTTTTATAAAACGACAATGTTTATTTAATTCATTGGCTGCATTAATTAAATCAATTAATGATACAATTGTTTATACAATTGATTATAGTAAAGATGATATGGAAACATTTGTATTTTGTTTAGCAAGAAAACGTTGTGCAGCTAAACTTCATCGTGATATGAATGATTTGAGTCAATTTTGTGCCGAACGAAAAACTGCAGATAGAAAAGGTCTTAGCACCGATTATCAAATATTAAGTGAACTTGGTGAAGTATCAAGTGCAATAATTGATACAAAAGTAGCAGATTTTATATACAAGTATGTATTTAAAATTTTTCTTAGAATTGAATTAATTAATACTATAGTGGTCTTGGATTAACTTCGATTTTTTTCAGTTGCGAAGACCATTTCAAGAATCTAACTGTATGTTTAAAAAAAAAAGACTAAAGAAAAATATAAGTGATTTATTTTGCTCTATGTAGATCATCATTTAGAATTCTTTTATGATTGTTCGAAAGTATATATTTAGATTGAGATCGACTGATATGCCTTATATTGCAATTAAAATTAGTCATATGTGCTACTGAATATAGTGATAGTTTTTTTCAAGATTGAGAATATGTCATTGTCGTTCGAAACTTGAAGAACAATCTTATACACATATATTGGTGATCTTCAGCAAAAATATTTGCTTGAAAAGTTTTTATTTCCCATTTTGCTATTTCACGAGGCACTACTGTTTGTTTTTCTAATGGTAAAAACAGTCCTCTATATTTATTTTATTATCATCAAAGCCCATGATACATCGCAGACATTCTTAATAACAAGACAATATCTTAGTTATTTTAAAATGACTGCTAACTAAATTCGGATTAGAACTAACTACAAAATTGATGATGTTTTCGACAAAAATATTTGTACCAAGGTAGCTGAGATAAGATGATGTCTAAATGATTACTTTCTTTTTTGCAATACTCGATATACAATATTGATTATATCTATAATCAACAGATTTGAATTTAACTTACAATTTAACAATTAGAAAAAAATAAGAATAATACATAAGTTTTATTATTTTTGTTAGATTTCCTGATGCTATTGAATATATTCACATCAGTGATCAATATACCGGTATGAAAGGTCAAAATGGTGAACAACAATCATCATCAACAAGTCAAACAAATACTGGTAGTGCAGCACAACAACAAGATGCACTTAATACAAGTGAACGTTCTATTCGTCGTGTATTAATTATTGCTTTTAATTTATTACCACATAATGGTCGTTCACTTCAAGTTACATGTGAAAGTTTAAGTAGTGATTATTTACGATTCGTATTATATTTAATTGATCGTGTTAGTTCATTTCGTTTAACATCAAAAGAATCTAAAACGAAAGCCATTAAAAATCGTCAACGTATTGACGAACAATTTTTAAAAAGTGTTAATCAACAACGACAAGAACAAGCACAACAACGACGTGAAGAACAACGTCGTGCTGAAAAAGAAAAAATTATGCAATCTGATGATCCTGAATTACAACGTAAATGGGAAGAAAAAGAACATAAACGTGAAATGAAACGACGACAACCAAAAATGAAACAAATGAAAATAAAAGCTATGTAAAAGAACATCATACAAATGAACATCCGTTATTTGTTGTTTTGTTTTTCTTTTTGTCCTTTTTCTTTTCTTTGCTATATTTTATCATGTAAAACAATCATCGAAACTTAATATAACATCTTTACATCATTTTTTAGATGTCATTTTTAACTGGTACTCATCGATTTCTTGATCCAAAATGTAATGAGATATTAGATCAGTTTTATGAATGTATTGAAAAGAAAAGTCGAG